TGGGTTAGCCTGGGTGTTGATCTGTACCTGTAGTTTTCTATGGGTAAGCCTGGGTGTTGATCTGTACCTGTAGTTTTCCATGGATAAGCCTTAGTGTTGATCTGTACCTGTAGTTTTCCATGAGTAAGCCTTGGTGTTGATTTGTACCTGTAGTTTTCCATGGGTAAGGTTAGCCTTGGTGTTGATCTGTTCCTGTAGTTTTCCATGAGTAAGCCTTGGTGTTGATCTGTACCTTTAGTTTTCCATGGGTAAGCCTTGATGTTGATCTGTACCTGTAGTTTTGCATGGGTAAGCCTTGGTGTTGATTTGTACCTGTAGTTGGGTAAGCCTTGGTGTTGATCTGTACCTGTTGTTTTCCATGGGTTAGCCTTGGTTTTGATCTGTACCTGTAGTTTTCCAGGGGTTAGCCTGGGTGTTGATCTGTACCTGTAGTTTCCATGGGTTAGCCTTGGTGTTTATCTGTACCTGTAGTTTTGCATGGGTAAGCCTTGGTGTTGATATGTACCTGTAGTTCTCCATGGGTAAGCCTTGGTGTTGGTCTGTACCTGTAGTTTTCCATGGATAAGCCTTGGTGTTGATCTGTACCTTTAGTTTTCCATGGGTAAGCCTTGGCGTTGATCTGTACCTGTATTTTTCCATGGCTAAGCCTGGGTGTTGATCTGTACCTGTAGTTTCCATGGGTTAGCCTTGGTGTTGGTCTGTACCTGTAGTTTTCCATGGATAAGCCTTAGTGTTGATCTGTACCGGTAAGCCTTGGTGTTGATCTGTGCCTGTATTTTTCCATGGGTAAGCCTTGGTGCTGATCTGTACCTGTATTTTTCCATGGCTAAGCCTGGGTGTTGATCTGTACCTGTAGGCTGTTGATCTGTACCTGTAGTTTTGCATGGGTAAGCCTTGGTGTTGATCTGCACCTGTAGTTTTCCGTGGGTAAGCCTTAGTGTTGATCTGTACCTGTAGTCTTCCATGAGTTAGCCTGGGTGTTGGGCTGTACCTGTAGTTTTCCATGGGGAAGCCTTAGTGTTGATCTGTACCGGTAAGCCTTGGTGTTGATCTGTGCCTGTATTTTTCCATGGGTAAGCCTTGGTGCTGATCTGTACCTGTATTTTTCCATGGGTAAGCCTTGGTGCTGATCTGTACCTGTATTTTTCCATGGGTAAGCCTGGGTGTTGGTCTGTACCTGTAGTTTTCCATTGGTTAGCCTTGGTGTTGATCTGTACCTTTAGTTTTCCATGGGTAAGCCTTGATGTTGATCTGTACCTGTAGTTTTCCAGGGGTTAGCCTGGGTGTTGATCTGTACCTGTAGTTTTGCATGGGTAAGCCTTGGTGTTGATATGTACCTGTAGTTTTCCATGGGTAAGCCCTGGTGTTGATATGTACCTGTAGTTCTCCATGGGTAAGCCTTGGTGTTGATCTGTGCCTGTAGTTTTCCATGGGTAAGCCGTGTGGTTGATCTGTACCTGTAGTTTTCCATTGGTTAGCCTGGGTGTTGATCTGTACCTGTAGTTTCCATGGGTTAGCCTTGGTGTTGGTCTGTACCTGTAGTTTTCCATGGATTAGCCTGGGTGTTGATCTGTACCTGTAGTTTTATATGGGTTAGCCTTGGTGTTTATCTGTACCTGTAGTTTTGCATGGGTAAGCCTTGGTGTTGATCTGCACCTGTAGTTTTCCGTGGGTAAGCCTTAGTGTTGATCTGTACCGGTAAGCCTTGGTGTTGATCTGTGCCTGTATTTTTCCATGGGTAAGCCTGGGTGTTGGTCTGTACCTGTAGTTTTCCATGGATTAGCCTTGGTGTTGGTCTGTACCTGTAGTTTTCCATTGGTAAGCCTTGGTGTTGATCTGTGCCTGTAGTTTTCCATGGGTAAGCCCTGGTGTTGATATGTACCTGTAGTTTTCCATGGGTAAGCCCTGGTGTTGATATGTACCTGTAGTTCTCCATGGGTTAACCTGGGTGTTGATCTGTACATGTAGTTTTCCATGGGTTAGCCTTAGTGTTGATCTGTACCTGTAGTTTCCATGGGTTAGCCTTGGTGTTTATCTGTACCTGTAGTTTTGCATGGGTAAGCCTTGGTGTTGATATGTACCTGTAGTTCTCCATGGGTAAGCCTTGGTGTTGCTCTGTACCTGTAGTTTTCCAGGGGTTAGCCTGGGTGTTGATCTGTACCTGTAGGGTGTTGATCTGTACCTGTAGTTTCCATGGGTTAGCCTTGGTGTTGATCTGCACCTGTAGTTTTCCGTGGGTAAGCCTTAGTGTTGATCTGTACCTGTAGTCTTCCATGAGTTAGCCTGGGTGTTGCTCTGTACCTGTTGTTTTCCATGGGTAAGCCTTGGTATTGATCTGTACCTGTAGTTTTCCAGGGGTAAGCCTTGGTGTTGATCTGCACCTGTAGTTTTCCGTGGGTAAGCCTTAGTGTTGATCTGTACCGGTAAGCCTTGGTGTTGATCTGTACCTTTAGTTTTCCATGGGTAAGCCTGGGTGTTGGTCTGTACCTGTAGTTTTCCATTGGTAAGCCTTGGTGTTGATCTGTCCCTGTAGTTTTCCATGGGTTAACCTGGGTATTGATCTGTACATGTAGTTTTCCATGGGTTAGCCTTAGTGTTGATCTGTACCTGTAGTCTTCCATGAGTTAGCCTGGGTGTTGGGCTGTACCTGTAGTTTTCCATGGGTTAGCGTTGGTGTTGGTCTGTACCTGTAGTTTTCCATTGTAAGCCTTGTTGTTTATCAGTACCTGTAGTTTTCCATGGGTAAGGTTAGCCTTGGTGTTGATCTGTACCTGTTGTTTTCCATGGGTAAGCCTTGGTGCTGATCTGTACCTGTATTTTTCCATGGCTAAGCCTGGGTGTTGATCTGTACCTGTAGGGTGTTGATCTGTACCTGTAGTTTCCATGGGTTAGCCTTGGTGTTTATCTGTACCTGTAGTTTTCCATGGGTTAACCTGGGTGTTGATCTGTACATGTAGTTTTCCATGGGTTAGCCTGGGTGTTGATATGTACCTGTAGTTTTCCATGGGTAAGCCCTGGTGTTGATATGTACCTGTAGTTCTCCATGGGTTAACCTGGGTGTTGATCTGTACCTGTAGGCTGTTGATCTGTACCTGTAGTTTTGCATGGGTAAGCCTTGGTGTTGATATGTACCTGTAGTTCTCCATGGGTAAGCCTTGGTGTTGCTCTGTACCTGTAGTTTTCCAGGGGTAAGCCTTGGTGTTGATCTGTGCCTGTATTTTTCCATGGGTAAGCCTTGGTGCTGATCTGTACCTGTATTTTTCCATGGGTAAGCCTTGGTGCTGATCTGTACCTGTATTTTTCCATGGCTAAGCCTGGGTGTTGATCTGTACCTGTAGTTTCCATGGGTTAGCCTTGGTGTTGATCTATACCTGTAGTTTTCCATGGGTTAACCTGGGTGTTGATCTGTACCTGTAGTTTCCATGGGTTAGCCTTGGTGTTGATATGTACCTGTAGTTCTCCATGGGTAAGCCTTGGTGTTGGTCTGTACCTGTAGTTTTCCATTGGTAAGCCTTGGTGTTGATCTGTACCTGTCTTTTTCCATGGGTAAGCCTGGGTGTTGGTCTGTACCTGTAGTTTTCCATTGGTTAGCCTTGGTGTTGATCTGTACCTGTTGTTTTCCATGGGTTAGCCTTGGTGTTGGTCTGTACCTGTAGTTTTCCATTGGTTAGCCTGGGTGTTGATCTGTACCTGTAGGGTGTTGATCTGTACCTGTAGTTTTCTATGGGTTAGCCTTGGTGTTGATCTATACCTGTAGTTTTCCATGGGTTAGCGTTGGTGTTGGTCTGTACCTGTAGTTTTCCATTGTAAGCCTTGTTGTTTATCAGTACCTGTAGTTTTCCATGGGTAAGCCTGGGTGTTGATCTGTACCTGTAGTTTTATATGGGTTAGCCTTGGTGTTGATCTGCACCTGTAGTTTTCCGTGGGTAAGCCTTAGTGTTGATCTGTACCGGTAAGCCTTGGTGTTGATCTGTACCTGTAGTGTTCCATGGGTAAGCCTTAGTGTTGATCTGTACCTGTAGTTTTCCATGAGTTAGCCTGGGTGTTGCTCTGTACCTGTAGTTTTCCATGGGTAAGCCTTGGTGTTGATCTGTGCCTGTATTTTTCCATGGGTAAGCCTGGGTGTTGATCTGTACCTGTAGTTTTCCATGGGTTAACCTGGGTGTTGATCTGTACATGTAGTTTTCCATGGGTTAGCCTGGGTGTTGATCTGTACCTGTAGTTTTCCATGGGTTAACCTGGGTGTTGATCTGTACATGTAGTTTTCCATGGGTTAGCCTGGGTGTTGATCTGTACCTGTAGTTTTCCATGGGTAAGCCTTGATGTTGATCTGTACCTGTAGTTTTCCATGGGTTAGCCTTGGTGTTTTTCTGTACCTGTAGTTTTCCATGGGTTAGCCTTGGTGTTGGTCTGTACCTGTAGTTTTCCATGGGTAAGCCTTGGTGTTGATCTGTACCTGTAGTTTTCCATGGGTNTGTTGATCTGTACCTGTAGTCTTCCATGGGTAAGCCTTGGTGTTGATATGTACCTGTAGTTTTCCTTGGGTTAGCCTTGGTGTTGGTCTGTACCTGTAGTTTTCCATGGGTTAGCCTTGGTGTTGATCTATACCTGTAGTTTTCCATGGGTTAACCTTGGTGTTGGTCTGTACCTGTAGTTTTCCATTGGTTAGCCTGGGTGTTGATCTGTACCTGTAGTTTTCCATGGGTTAACCTTGGTGTTGATCTGTACCTGTAGTTTTCCATTGGTTAGCCTGGGTGTTGATCTGTACCTGTAGTTTTCCATGGGTTAGGCTTGGTGTTGATCTGTACCTGTAGTTTTCCATGGGCAAGCCTTGGGGTTGAGCTGTACCTGTAGTTTTCCATGGGTTAGCCTTGGTGTTGATCTGTACCTGTAGTTTCCCATGGGTTAGCCTTAGTGTTGATCTGTACCTGTAGTTTTCCATGGGTTAACCTTGGTGTTGATCTGTACCTGTAGTTTTCCATGGGTAAGCCTTAGTGTTGATCTGTACCTGTAGTTTTCCATGGGTTAGCCTTGTTGTTGATCTGTACCTGTAGTTTTCCTTGGGTTAGCAGGTTAAACCTGTTCTACTAGATAGGTCAAAGTGACAGAGGTAACAAAGGTCAAATTTAAAGATGTATGAGATGACTAACACAAATATGTATACCCACCAGTATGGAACACTTGGGAAGAAAAACTGAAGTCAGATTAAGGTCACATGGATTCTTAAGGCACTTGTCACTGTTCCCTAGAATTTGTAAGTAATTCACGGACTTGATTTACTTTGCAGTGATCCAAGGTTCATCATTGGAATACTGCTATTCTTGTCCGGCTTCATCATCAACCGCTGGGCTGACTGGAAACTCAAGTCACTCCGCAACACTAAAGGTGAAGATTGTAATCTTGAAGACGGTAAACTTCATTTTATTGTCATTTAAAACTTTCTCTTTTTAAATTTTCTGGATAGATTTGTGTCCATAGAATATTTCATCTTTGGATCTGCATATAATTCTTATTCTGTTGTCTACTTTTTATGAAAATGATCCAGTAAAACAGGTCTTGGACTATATACAATATCAGACAAATATATTTGATATCTATAGAATATCATATTTATAATACCATGTACATAAGATTCATATAACAATATTCTCTGCTTTTTGATAATGTGTAAGATTTTATCTATAACAACATTTATTGTTGGGACATGTTGACACTGTACAGTCTGAAGTATTCGGTTTCTGTACTAGACAGACTGCTATATTTGATTATGTGTAATATTTTGTCTATAACAACATTATTTGTTACCACAGGCTGTAATGGTTATTACATTCCGTATGGCGGACTGTTTGAGCTGGTCACCTGTCCTAATTACTTCGGGGAACTCGTAGAATGGCTGGGATGGTAAGTGAAGTATTCAAATTAAACCTGGAAGTCTGGATTGATATATCAGAGATGAGGCATTATTTTGTATTGAATGACAGCAAGACAAAATATCAAGCAATATTCAGAGAAAGTGTTTTTCTCCTGTACACACAACTTCAACAACCCAGGTGGAGTATAAAATGGTCTGGGGTAGATGTTGCAGTATCTGTGCTATAGCATTCAAGTGAGGTGGCACTATCAATGATACCATTGGAAGCATGGTCCCACAAACAGAACGCAATACATCTCCAGCACACACGTGCACGCAGGCATACAAATACAGGGAAATTAGCCAGGTGGCATACATGTAGGACTAGGGTTAGTGCCTGATAAATAACAATACAGTTGACAGTTTGTTACATCATAAAATCTTACTTGGTAATCTCACTATGATCAAAAGGCGTTTGTAAAAAAAAATCTCATAAATTGTCTTGTGTTTTAAAAATGGTCATGAAATCTTTCTGTATGAATTTTCTTCCAAAAATCATTTAAAGTCTTTTTGAAAGGCAAACAAAGAACCTACTGATGTTGATGTCTTTAAAAACAAAATGTCTGCTTTTCAAAATTGAATCATTACCTGTGAAGTCAGCATACTGGGCGACAATGCCTAATGGTTATTTTTGGTTTAAAACAATTCCATTCCAACTTCTTCCATTCAACACTTAACTGATTTTCCTATGGGAACCTTTCTATAAACGATTTCATTCATTGGTTTGGAAATCATGAACTTCCAAAGTAAAATATTCGTGAATAAATTTGAGAGATTTGATGCAATGTATCACTTTGTATATTGATACCGGTGACTGGGTAAAAAGAGCGTTACATGACATGATCTGTGATTTGTGTTTACAGGGCGATAGCTACATGGTCACTACCAGGACTAGTGTGGTGCCTGTTCTCTGCTGCCACGTTTGTCCCTCGTTCTCAGCATAACCACAAATGGTAAGTACGTTATACTGTAGAATTTGTCAGGGCTAGAAACTGCTGTGAGTTTGTAATGCCTGTGATACGCAGGTTTTCATCATTTGACTTCCTTTTTTTATTTTTCTCTCTCTGCATTGTTTGTTAAAGGTGACTTAAATAAAACAGATATCAGTTATATATCTGTTTCTTAGGTAATACTTTTCTGTGAATGACTGGGAGTAACATGGTTCACAGTTGAAGGTCTAGACATTAGTTACCCAGAAGATCAGAAGTTATAATGTAGGAATTATATCTACCATGTCTTGGAGTTCTAGCTTTATAAAAGGGTACAAACATGATAGGCAATAATGGCAGGGATGACTGGTGATACTTTCACTTAGGATATACAGATAACGTGTCATTTTCTCCCAGTCTGATTTTTGTCCTTCTCTGGTAAAATCTGCTAGTGAGTTTAGGATTGAAGAACAAACTCTCGATGGTAAGGGGTGGGTGAGTGATTGTTTTCACTAATCTAAAAAGGATGTGTGCTTGTCGGATGTGAATAGTATGGGCAGCATCAAGAAATTTATGTTATAAAACATACATAATGATAATGAGTACTACTACCGTATTAGGTAATAATTATCAAATCTTAAATTTCCAACTGTATTTTTTCTTTTAGGTACAAACAGCAGTTTGAGTTATACCCCAGAAACAGGAAGGCTTTGATACCATACATATTTTGAAGACAGCCGTTAACATAAAAATACTCTTGTGAATGTTTGGCAACTGGCCCAAAGACAAAGGGAAAGATAACTCAGGGAACATCCTTATTTTGACATTAGACTTAAGTTGATGATATTAGTAGATTATTGCAATATATACTGTACCTAATTAAGTAAGTGGTGTTAGTGGATTATAACATTTATACACCTAATTATTTATATGTTAGTTGATTATTACATTCATACAACTTATGATGTTAGTTGATTATAACATTTATACACCTGAATATGTAAATGATGTTAGTTGATTATAACATTTATACACCTGATTATGTAAATGATGTTAGTTGATTATAACATTTATACACCTAATTATGTAAATGATGTTAGTTGATTATAACATGTATTTACCTGATTATGTAAATGATGTAAGTTGATTATAAAATGTATACACCTGATTATGTAAATGATGTAAGTTGATTATAACATTTATACACCTGATTATATAAATGATGTTAGTTAATTATAACATGTATTTACCTGATTATGTAAATGCTGTAAGTTGATTATAAAATGTATACACCTGATTATGTAAATGATATTAGTTGATTATAACATTTATACACCTGATTATGTAAATGATGCTAGTTGATTATAACATTTATACACCTGATTATATAAATGATGTTAGTTGATTATAAAATGTATACACATGATTATGTAAATGATGTTAGTTGATTATATCATGTATCGCCTGATTATGTAAATGATGTTAGTTAATTATAACATGTATTTACCTGATTATGTAAATGCTGTAAGTTGATTATAAAATGTATACACCTGATTATGTAAATGATATTAGTTGATTATAACATTTATACACCTGATTATATAAATGATGTTAGTTAATTATAACATGTATACACCTGATAATGTAAATGATGTTAGTTGATTATAACATTCATACACCTGATTATGTAAATGATGTAAGTTGATTATAAAATGTATACACCTGATTATGTAAATGATATTAGTTGATTATAACATTTATACACCTGAATATGTAAATGATGTTAGTTGATTACAACATTTATACACCTGATTATGTAAATGATGCTAGTTGATTATAACATTTATACCCCTGATTATGTAAATGATGTTAGTTGATTATAACATGTATACACCTGATTATGTAAATGATGTTAGTTGATTATAAAATGTATACACCTGATTATGTAAATGATGTTAGTTGATTATAACATTTATACACCTGATTATGTAAATGATGTTAGTTGATTATAACATGTATCGCCTGATTATGTAAATGATGTTAGTTAATTATAACATGTATACACCTGATTATGTAAATGATGTTAGTTGATTATTACATGTATTTACCTGATTATGTAAATGATGTTAGTTAATTATAACATGTATTTACCTGATTATGTAAATGATGTTAGTTGATTATAACATGTATACACCTGTTAATGTAATTGATGTTAGTTAATTATAACATGTATACACCTGATCATGTAAATGATGTTAGTTGATTATAACATGTATTTTTTATCAGGAAAGTTTACCATTATTAACTTTGTGATGTTGAATAAGAAAAACTGTGATAATGTTTAGATGCATAAAATGTGTATTTCTCTGCCTTTATGCTAATGTATGTATGTGTATCAGTGCGTGTGCATGTTTGTACATTATACAGTGGGCGCGGAATATATGGTGATGTCTAAATAATTCTAATAATCCACCGATTTTCTCTAAATCATTCCCTTATGACATTTATTAGTCTAAAGTCTTATTCCTCGCCTTTGAATATTCACTTTTATTGGCTGTTATTTTGAATATAAATTCAGCCTATCAGGGCTTATAGAAGAATCCTTGAAACATGTTGACCAAGTTTTTGTTCTGTGAATTTTTGTTGTTAAGATCGTCCACTGTTTAAGTTATGTTGGTATGTGACCTGTGTCAGGTCAAATTTATGAGTACATGACACATGGTTTAGGTGTGATATTTAACAGGCTCTCAGGAAGCATAAGTCAAGTTTTGTTTCTTTAAATTGTTTCCTTGTTGTGGAAATTTATCCTCTAAAATGTATAAAATAAAAAAATGAGCAGGTCATAGTTACCTAATTATATACAACTATATTTTGAAGATCAGTATATTTCTTATAAGGTGTGTTAATTTTGGCTTGGATGTAACAGAACCACTCATATCTTAATTTTGCTTTAAATGTATGTATTTTTCAATAATTTACCATTTCTTAAATTTTTGCCTATGGATTTGGAATGATATTATTTTGCATTTGGAAGACTTTTCTTCTGAATTTGAGTAATTGATAATACTGTTCATGTTTTACAATTTGAAAATCAGAAAATCGTGTTCATTACACTTTTACTATTTGTAATAAAACTATAACTTATGTTATCTTATCCTTTGCATGTTATTCTGTATTTTAATATGGTGCTATTCTCTTTCTTGACAAGGTACTTTTCTCTATCTTGACAAGGTGCTATTCTCTATCTTGACAAGGTGCTATTCTCTATCTTGACAAGGTGCTATTCTCTATCTTGGCAAGGTACCATTCTCTATCTTGGAAAGTTGCAAACTCTATCTTGGCAATGTGTTGTTCTCTATCTTGACATGTACTGTTTTCTCTATCTTGACGAGGTGATGTTCTCTCTATCTTGACGAGGTGACGTTCTCTCTATCTTGACAATGTGCTGTTCTCTATCTTGACAATGTGCTGTTCTCTCTATCTTGACGAGGTGATGTTCTCTCTATATTGACACTGTGCTTTTCTCTTTATCTTGACGAGGTGTTATTCTCTCTACCTTGACGAGGTTATGTTCTCTCTATCTTGACAATGTGCTGTTCTCTCTATCTTGACAATGTGTTGTTCTCTATCTTGACAATGTGCTGTTCTCTCTATCTTGACAATGTGCTGTTCTCTCTATCTTGACAATGTGCTGTTCTCTCT